AGGATACAACAGATCGCTTATATATCTCGTGATTCTGCCAGACCTAAGATCGCTAAGCGACCAAGAGTAAACACTCATGATCGCTTAACGATCTTAGGTCTGGGCAGAAATCATTTAACCAGACTGCAGATCGCTTAAGTGATTTTTTATCGCTTAAACGATCATGAGTAAAACAGAATAATCGCTTAAGCGATACAAATGAGCGCTTAGCGAAAGTACAAGCAACATTCACAAACTACGTACCTATCTTCGCGGCCTCCTCCTCGTCGTCTGGATCCTCCGATGAATCTCCTAACTGAATTCTCGCCGGAATCCTTTCTGGCCTGAATTATCGCTAGAATCCTCCTCTGGCCTGAATTTCGCCTGACCTGTCTCAGACCCGTTTGCTGGTTCTTCCTCTGTTCTTGTGCGCCGGCGTCTCCTCTACATGTGGACCACCTCACTGGTCAGATGATCCACCAGAGCAGCCATTAAAATGCTTGCGCCACCGGAATCTAGGATTAGAAGTGGCGTTGGGCTTCCCTCTCATTGTCAGTGCACTCATGGTTTTGGATTGAATTTGGTGTCAAAGTTTGCAGTTTCGATCGGAAATTGGACTGTATCGCCGGAATGGCACAGATTTCGTTACGTTTAAGGAAATCGATTTTAGGGTTCAACAAATTGATCAAAATTGCGACTATATCGCCGAAAATCGCGAATGTATTCGGTTAGGGTTCAAGAAATTGATTTAGGGTGCAAATTTGCAGGTGTTCGATCGGAAAAAATCGTGTGTCTCCCTTTCGTTCAAGAAATCACTTTTGAACTGTGAATTTCGATTAAGCGAGGTGAATAGTTAGTGGGGCTTGTTTTGCGAAATTTCAAATTTTAAAAACTTTCTATTTCTGATTCGGCCCACATATGTTTTAATCTTTTCATTTAACCCATTTTACGTGTTTAATAATCCTAACTATGCCACGTCAATCTTCTTAAATTAAAAAAAAATGATGAACAGTTTCAAGGCCATTTTCTAAATCCAAAATTGGGATGACGGGCAGCTAAATTTCTCCCTTTGCTCTCTTACCATCTGGTCACCCAGGGTGGAATCCTAATCATAGTTCCGTTCTTTTCCAGTGCACTCGCTTTATATCTCCGAAACACAAGGGCGGACGTGGTGGGAAGGAAGCAGCCCTAGCCTCTGTCGACCCGATCATTCTGCTGGCATCTTGCATTCACGCCTCGTTTGACTGCCGCTCGAGGATGTACTTGTAGATACGTTAGTCTTAGTGGGCGTTGGCCTCCACTGTGTATCTCCTTCTATGACATGCTGTTGTCGTGCCATATCATATGCACTTAGTATCTCTGCCTCGCGCGGGTCAAAAATCCGAAAGAAAAGGAGGGACTTCATTCAGTGACTCACGATCGCCCTCTGAAAGATCATATAAGGTAAGGCTTGAAGATAAGTTTTGTGCTCTATTAATTTCTCAGTTTAGCGGTGGGCGCCGGCTGGGTCTTTCCTTTCGACTAGATCCCCTAAAACCGTAGTGGGGGTCTCCCCGCATGCGGTCTCACGCCATTCAAGGTGGTCCAGCAGTATCCTTCGAAAAATCCGTAGTGAAATTGAAAAGGGCATTTAAAATTTATAAATAGAGCGCGGACAAACAGATTTATTTTGATGGCGCGAATCTTCATCTTCGTGAGCAATTCTTCAAATCCCAGCTCCCACCACCATCCGCCTCAGCTTCACAAATCAGGTGTTTCTCCTCGGAAACCAACTGTAATTCATGGTAATCATAAAAGCACCAAAAGCGAATGAAGCAGAGCTCCAAAAGGCCCAAACAACGACAAAAACCAGCACGGCTATATCCAGGCCCGACTCATTAAACACAAACCGGTCAAGTGAGCTCAGTCGTTCTCTCTTCTCTGTCCCATCTCTCTCAAAACCACGTGATCAAACTCTTCGCCTGATTAAATCCCCGCAAAAAGCCTTCAATTTTCAACTGGGTTCAGCAGATGGGTTCGCCCACAATCACCAATCATTTTTTAATGCTGAAATATGGGCCGAAACCGAAACCTTAACGGGCTCGTATTTTCTTCTCTCCTGAGAAGAGATCTGATGGTGGGTTAAACTGGGGCAAATTCTTTAATAGTTGATTAGGAGCTATGGTGAAGCGGGTTTGGTTCAGAGTCTATAAAGATGTTCACAATGATGAAAGTATGGGGGTTCGCCTTGCTGTTACTTTTAATATTCTTTTGTTAGTTTGTTAAAAGGGGAAGAACCAGTATGGCAAAGAGCGTGTTCGATGAAATGCCTTAGCAGTTTGGTGTTACACCGGTGTTTATACTTTAACATTTTGATTAGAGGGTTTTGTAAAAATTCAATGGTGATGAAGGGTTTAGTTTTTTAAAGAAATGGAAAGGTTTAAGTGTGTCCTGATGTTGTACGTTTAATACAATTGTTGATGGTGTGTAGAGCCGGTAAGGTTAGATAGCGTGCAATGTCGTCAAGGGGATGGGGAAGAAGAATGTGATTTGAAACCGATGTTGTTACTTATACCATTTGATTAGAGGGTATTGCATGAAACAGGAGATTGATGGGCTTTGCTTGTTTTCGAAGAGATGATCGGTCAAGGATTGGAGCCTAGTGGAATTACGTATAATACTCTATAAAAAGGTTTGTGAAGTAAGGAGTTTGAGAAGATAAGGGAAGTTTGGAGGGAGCAAAAGAAAGTGGAGGATTTACTCCTGATCGTGTACTTAACCACAGTGATGGATGCACATTGTAGTGGAGGGAACTTGGTGAGGCATTTGAGATGTTTGATAAGATGAGGGGAGTTTGCAGGTCTGCCAGATTAGATACGTATAGCTCTGATAGGAGTTTGTGTCACTCTAGTGATTTGAGAGAGCGGAGAAGTTGTTTGATGAGCTTTCGGAGAAAAGAGATCCTGTTGAGTGATACTGGGTGTACTCCTCTGGTTGCGCATACAATCAGTGTTGAGATCTGTGTGAAATGGGAAAGACTAAGAAGGCCGAGGAAGTTTTTTAGGCAGCTAATGAGGAGAGGAACACGAAGATCCATCATTTCAAGACTTAGTCGTAGGACATTGTAAGGAAAGGTAGATTTAAAGATGGCTATGAGGCTTGGTTTTGATGTTAAGAGAGATATGTGCCTGATTTTGAGAGTATGATTAGTTTTGATTAACGGTCGTCTTGCAGAAGGGTGAACTCTTCTTGCCAGGAGAATCAGAGAAAGATGCTGAAGAGCTCTCCATCCTTCCTCGAACATCTACTTTTCCACCTATACTGCAGAACTTGTGAAAAGAAGAGTGCCCATGAATCTGCAAGCTTGGGATGTTAATGTTGGAGAAAAAAATTTGACAGAGCATCACTCTTTCAACGTCGTACTGTTTTTACTCTTTGGTAGGGACTGAGGGATAAAGCATTTCAGATTGTGGTTTTCTTTATGATAACGGATTGTGTGATTGAGTAGGAGAAGTAATCAGTTATTCCTTGTCAAGTAGAAGATCTTGAGGCACATCAAATGTTGTTATGAGTTTGCAGAAGAATCATAGTGTTGATATTCATTTATACAGCACAGTTATTGAAGGTCTATGTAAAATCCATAAACTTTCAGAAGCATTTGAATTGTACTATGAATTGGTGGAGAAAGGGCTCCATCAACATTTGTCTTGCCTAGAAGATTTGAAAAATGCCCTAGAAGCCGGTGGAAGACCTGAGGAAGCTAAGTTTGTATTTAAGAGGATGCCAAAACAGTTGCGACCAAACAAATCTCCAAATTAAGTTCTCGGTTCCATGACTTATGCAGATGCCACTGCTACCTAGCATTTTATATGTAGAATTTGGTTTCTCTGAAAAGAACTCAAAATTTGTTATTTACTTGACAGGTTAGACACATTTCAAGGAGTCAAAATAGGGCTTCAACCCGCAGGTGGAATTATAACTGCGACATCAAGAATCCTTGACGGATGACACTTGTAATCTCTGCGGGAATTGAAGTTGCCTGTTCGATAAACACTCTATCGATGGTTTGCTTTAACGATTTGAATCTCTTTGTATTTCATTTTCCTGACATGAAACTATTTTCTGTACATTAACCCATTTGTTGCGTTGCAGATAGCTATGCTAGTTGATAGAGAGCTGATAATCCTTGATTATGATGTTTAACTCGAAGCATTACTTCTCAACGCAAGACTGCTACCGCTGAGGCGTTTGGTAATGTAAAGTGCTGTTGGATTTGAGTTAACTCCATCATTCCTTACCTTTGTTTTCTGAATTTCGGCATTCCTCAGTAGTAGCCGATATGCTGACTAGAAGTCTAGAAAAACACTGCATAGATCATAGATTTAAGCTTTGGTTTTTAGTAATTTTTTTTACCATTTGCATATGAGAAGTTCAGGGGTTGAAAATGTAAAAATGAATAGCTTAAAGACAGTTGTTTCTATTTCTAATTAAATGTGGTGAATGTAATTTACAGCTTTAACAAACTAATAGAAGCATATTTTGTTGGTTAAACATAGCCCATATTCGCACTCACCCTCCTTATGTTGGTTTTCTGTTTTCTACTTAATTACATATTAACTTTTGAAATTTGACTTGAATATTAAAAAAAAGAAAATTAAAATACTTTATTAATATATCCAAATTACTATTGTACAAGATTTATTAAATAAATTTTAATTTTGAAAAATTCCCAAAGGAAATTTATGTATTGTATATAGTATTTTTCTTATATTAAATTATTCTAATAGAATTAGCTATTCTTAATTAAAATAAATAGTAAATTAAACTGGACAAAACAAATGCATTCGTCCTACATAATTTAGATTATTTACTCAAACAACCTAAAATTAAAAAATAAATAAATAAGCTGTGTTAAAATATTGGAAGGTGAAATTAGAGAAAACGCAAATAAACAAGGGTAAAAAGGGAAATAAAGAAATTAGGGCGCAAGATATATACGACACGTCACTCCGGACCAAAGGAATCTCCTATAAAGATAAAATCAAAGGGCATTTTCTTATCAGATTGCATTTCATTTCATTTCATTTCATCAGAATCAATCTATCAATCAACAGGAGCTTGAGATATTTTGCGAAAATGGCCGGAGTTGGACCTATCTCACAGGACTGGGAACCCGTCGTCATTAGGAAGAAAGCCCCCAACGCCGCCGCCAAGAAAGATGAGAAAGTCGTCAACGCCGCCCGTCGCTCTGGCGCCGATATTGAAACCATAAAAAAATGTTAACTCTCTCTTCATATTTTGACCTTTTAATCTTTAATTTGCTCTTTATTTCTTACTCTTAGATGCCTATATAATCTGCGTAATTGAGCTTTTATATCAGCTGAAAATGACTTGTTTTAGGGTTTATGGATTGTTATTTACTTTGTTAGGTGTACATCAGCTTTTTGTCACATTTCTTGTACTTTTCTGTTGATGGGTTTTGTATTCTTTTGGGAGATGAATCATTTTTATATTGAATATTTAGGGTTTTTCTGTTTTAGGTGGGTAGTTATTTCTTCTTAATGGTAACGTGTGAATGAAAAGGTCTTTGATGGGTTTGATGTTGGTTTTTCATCATCCTAAATGAGTGCTTCTTTTCTGATATGAAATATTTTGCAAGCTGATCTTGTGTTTTGTGTGTTTCTATTGTATGTACAGCATGAAAATTTGAATTAAATGAGATGGTTATTCCGTTGTTTGGATCATTCTGAACAATGAGTAATGTTGACACCAAACTTTTGTTAATCTAATTACAGTTTAGTGGGTTTTCTAACGAGATATTTGTTTATGATAAGACATTCATTTACCCTGTACCTGTGTCAAGGATATATGAATTGGATTGATGGTGATCTTTCAAAAGTCAGCTTGTAAATATGCAATTATGAGCTGTTTAAATGCTTATGTCTTTTGTTTTCCCCTGCAGCAAATGCTGGCACAAACAAGGCTGCCTCCAGCAGCACTTCTTTGAACACAAGGAAACTTGATGAAGATACAGAGAATCTTGCTCGTGAGTATCTTTTTCTTATATTTTGTATCTTAAACTTTGTTTACTTGTTATTATAATTATGCACCTTGTATAGACTTGGAAGGTTTACAGAGCTCCTCCCAGAGGAAAAATCTTCAACCAACCCATTCTCAAGTTATTGATAATGTGTTTATTGTACTGTCCATCTGTTTTTAAAATGGTTTGATATGGTGATCAGTAGGTTGGCTTCGTGCAAAAGTTATATTATATGATAGTGTCAGCTGTTATGATATTGCATATGATGTAGGTAGTTAGTAGTTGCAGGGTGGATTATCATGTTTGAAGCATGTGCAGCTGTTCTTAGGTTAACTAGTATTGTATAGTCAGTATCATAGTGGATTGAAAGGTATAGGGGGTGCTCGAATGATGGAAAACATGGGTGGGTGCATACTGTTAAAATAGCTGAACCTTGAAATTATATGCTTTCCCTGGTTCATTGCCTGACCATCAAGTCAGCCTTAGAATTTCAATAATTCATCCCTGTCATTTATATCCCAGGCTTTTAATTGATGCTCCACATCCATAACATAAGTAGTCAAAGCAAGTGAATGATTAGAAATCATGTGAATCAAGAGATATCTGAATAAGGATTTAAGAATTGAATTTTAGTTTGTTAAGACTATCAAGAGCATATCACATGCTTTTAATTCAGTCTGCTGAGTCTTGTTTGGCATGCATAAGCTGTGGATTTGTTTGTCTCATTTCCAAAAGCTTGTTATAAGGTCATAACAGTAAAGTTTTTTTGTTTATTTGTTCTGAACCAACCAATCTTGTCTTATTACTTCTCATAATTGTTATTTAAATAGTCTGTGATGTTATACTGGCAAGTGAAATTGACTAAATGTGTATTACAAGAAATTTTTTCACGCTTGCCTCTCCTTAATTTTATCATACTAAAGTTTGTTGTTTCCAACTTTCAATATTTTTTTTTTTTTTTTTTTTTTTTGGGTGTTATGCATTAATTTGTCCTGTTTGCAGTATTTTCACTAAGAGAGGATAAAAGTATTCTAACTTCTATTGTGGTGTTTTTATAAATGAACAGACGAACGTGTTCCAACTGAACTCAAGAAAGCAATTATGCAGGCACGAACAGAAAAGAAACTTACCCAGTCTCAACTTGCTCAGGTCTCTCTCCCTCCCCATGCATATATATAATTCTTAATTAGGACACTTGACTAATTCTTCCTTTTCTGTGCAGCTGATCAATGAAAAGCCCCAAATTATACAGGAGTATGAGTCTGGTAAAGCCATTCCTAATCATCAGATACTTACCAAGCTGGAGAGGGCCCTTGGTGCAAAACTGCGAGGAAAGAAGTGAAGTGAAACTTGTAGGAAACTACTTCCAGTACTTTTAATGTTGTCGTTTGTTGTGTGAGTCTTTAAAATTGGTGGTATATATGAACTTGTTCTACCGTTGTCATGGTTCGCTTATTAGAAGTGTCTTTTAGAGTTTGACTCTTTGTTATCACTATAAATCTTTGAGGTCGGTCTTTGACTTTCGCTTAACTGTATTTCATGTGCTTATTGCATCATAAGCTGAAAGTGCCATTGTCAATTTCTACGCTATAGCAATTTATTTGTGTTGAGAAGATTTGCACAGTAAATTGTCATTGCCATTCCTATGTAAACCTGGAGTGATTAGAGGATGAATATGGACTGGATCAAATTTTTTAAAACTCAACCCGGGTGAAACCTTGCAAAGTGGTCGGGTCTCAGGTTGATTGGTTTGACAGGTGGATCAAACCGGTGTCCATAGATTTAATATCTAACAAAAATAGAACACTGCTACCTAGCATTTTATATGTAGAATTTTGTTTCTCTGAAAAGAACTCAAAATTTGTTATTTACTTTACAGGTTAGACACATTTCAAGGAGTCAAAATAGGGCTTCAACCCGCAGGTGGAATTATAACTGCGACATCAAGAATCCTTGACGGATGACACTTGTAATCTCTGCGAGAATTGAAGTTGCCTGTTCGATAAACACTCTATCGATGGTTTGCTTTAACGATTTGAATCTCTTTGTATTTCATTTTCCTGACATGAAACTATTTTCTGTACATTAACCCATTTGTTGCGTTGCAGATAGCTACTATGCTAGTTGATAGAGAGCTGATAATCCTTGATTATGATGTTTAACTCGAAGCATTACTTCTCAACGCAAGACTGCTACCGCTGAGGCGTTTGCTAATGTAAAGTGCTGTTGGATTTGAGTTAACTCCATCATTCCTTACCTTTGTTTTCTGAATTTCGGCATTCCTCAGTAGTAGCCGATATGCTGACTAGAAGTCTAGAAAAACACTGCATAGATCATAGATTTAAGCTTTGGTTTTTAGTAATTTTTTTTACCATTTGCATATGAGAAGTTCAGGGGTTGAAAATGTAAAAATGAATAGCTTAAAGACAGTTGTTTCTATTTCTAATTAAATGTGGTGAATGTAATTTACAGCTTTAACAAACTAATAGAAGCATATTTTGTTGGTTAAACATAGCCCATATTCGCACTCACCCTCCTTATGTTGGTTTTCTGTTTTCTACTTAATTACATATTAACTTTTGAAATTTGACTTGAATATTAAAAAAAAGAAAATTAAAATACTTTATTAATATATCCAAATTACTATTGTACAAGATTTATTAAATAAATTTTAATTTTGAAAAATTCCCAAAGGAAATTTATGTATTGTATATAGTATTTTTCTTATATTAAATTATTCTAATAGAATTAGCTATTCTTAATTAAAATAAATAGTAAATTAAACTGGACAAAACAAATGCATTCGTCCTACATTATTTAGATTATTTACTCAAACAACCTAAAATTAAAAAATAAATAAATAAGCTGTGTTAAAATATTGGAAGGTGAAATTAGAGAAAACGCAAATAAACAAGGGTAAAAAGGGAAATAAAGAAATTAGGGCGCAAGATATATACGACACGTCACTCCGGACCAAAGGAATCTCCTATAAAGATAAAATCAAAGGGCATTTTCTTATCAGATTGCATTTCATTTCATTTCATTTCATCAGAATCAATCTATCAATCAACAGGAGCTTGAGATATTTTGCGAAAATGGCAGGAGTTGGACCTATCTCACAGGACTGGGAACCCGTCGTCATTAGGAAGAAAGCCCCCAACGCCGCCGCCAAGAAAGATGAGAAAGTCGTCAACGCCGCCCGTCGCTCTGGCGCCGATATTGAAACCATAAAAAAATGTTAACTCTCTCTTCATATTTTGACCTTTTAATCTTTAATTTGCTCTTTATTTCTTACTCTTAGATGCCTATATAATCTGCGTAATTGAGCTTTTATATCAGCTGAAAATGACTTGTTTTAGGGTTTATGGATTGTTATTTACTTTGTTAGGTGTACATCAGCTTTTTGTCACATTTCTTGTACTTTTCTGTTGATGGGTTTTGTATTCTTTTGGGAGATGAATCATTTTTATATTGAATATTTAGGGTTTTTCTGTTTTAGGTGGGTAGTTATTTCTTCTTAATGGTAACGTGTGAATGAAAAGGTCTTTGATGGGTTTGATGTTGGTTTTTCATCATCCTAAATGAGTGCTTCTTTTCTGATATGAAATATTTTGCAAGCTGATCTTGTGTTTTGTGTGTTTCTATTGTATGTACAGCATGAAAATTTGAATTAAATGAGATGGTTATTCCGTTGTTTGGATCATTCTGAACAATGAGTAATGTTGACACCAAACTTTTGTTAATCTAATTACAGTTTAGTGGGTTTTCTAACGAGATATTTGTTTATGATAAGACATTCATTTACCCTGTACCTGTGTCAAGGATATATGAATTGGATTGATGGTGATCTTTCAAAAGTCAGCTTGTAAATATGCAATTATGAGCTGTTTAAATGCTTATGTCTTTTGTTTTCCCCTGCAGCAAATGCTGGCACAAACAAGGCTGCCTCCAGCAGCACTTCTTTGAACACAAGGAAACTTGATGAAGATACAGAGAATCTTGCTCGTGAGTATCTTTTTCTTATATTTTGTATCTTAAACTTTGTTTACTTGTTATTATAATTATGCACCTTGTATAGACTTGGAAGGTTTACAGAGCTCCTCCCAGAGGAAAAATCTTCAACCAACCCATTCTCAAGTTATTGATAATGTGTTTATTGTACTGTCCATCTGTTTTTAAAATGGTTTGATATGGTGATCAGTAGGTTGGCTTCGTGCAAAAGTTATATTATATGATAGTGTCAGCTGTTATGATATTGCATATGATGTAGGTAGTTAGTAGTTGCAGGGTGGATTATCATGTTTGAAGCATGTGCAGCTGTTCTTAGGTTAACTAGTATTGTATAGTCAGTATCATAGTGGATTGAAAGGTATAGGGGGTGCTCGAATGATGGAAAACATGGGTGGGTGCATACTGTTAAAATAGCTGAACCTTGAAATTATATGCTTTCCCTGGTTCATTGCCTGACCATCAAGTCAGCCTTAGAATTTCAATAATTCATCCCTGTCATTTATATCCCAGGCTTTTAATTGATGCTCCACATCCATAACATAAGTAGTCAAAGCAAGTGAATGATTAGAAATCATGTGAATCAAGAGATATCTGAATAAGGATTTAAGAATTGAATTTTAGTTTGTTAAGACTATCAAGAGCATATCACATGCTTTTAATTCAGTCTGCTGAGTCTTGTTTGGCATGCATAAGCTGTGGATTTGTTTGTCTCATTTCCAAAAGCTTGTTATAAGGTCATAACAGTAAAGTTTTTTTGTTTATTTGTTCTGAACCAACCAATCTTGTCTTATTACTTCTCATAATTGTTATTTAAATAGTCTGTGATGTTATACTGGCAAGTGAAATTGACTAAATGTGTATTACAAGAAATTTTTTCACGCTTGCCTCTCCTTAATTTTATCATACTAAAGTTTGTTGTTTCCAACTTTC